CTTATTATGATATTCTAAAAAAATTGTCTACGTCATCTTAAAAATTGGGTATATATACAGCGCGCCGACATTGTAAGATACAGATATCGATTTGTTTTTTAAAAAAGTACACATTGTGATTATGTTAAGTAAAAAGAAATAATTTTTTAAAAAAAGTGTTATGTTCGTTGACAAAAAAGTAAGTTAATACTATTTATTAAAAATCTAAATGTAATATTTGAGCGGATATATTAATTTGTTCACAGTGTCGTTACATAATATAACAGCATCTGACGCTCTAACTCATGCCAACAAACATGAATTTTGTACTGCGTTCGTCATATAATCTTATAATTGTTGTATTTATTTATGATGTCGAAATGACTAAATTAATTTTTTAACATATTATTAGGATATTGAGAAAGACTGTCGTACAGTCGAAACGTTTATCTTAACTTTTGTATAGTATGACGTAAATTAATAAATAAATTTTTCAATTAATTAGCATATAAGCTCGTTAAGTTGGCCTTTTATTATATCACATATTCTAACTAATAAAGATTAGAGTTTCTGTTGTAGAACACAGCAGAAATACTAAAATCGATTTTCTATTAGTTATTATTATTTAGGCGTATTACTAAATACGCGCCATGTGAATTAGGTACCTGGTATTTATCGTAAAATGTGCGTAATCATAGCTTAGGTTAAGTATGTAATGATGAAGTAAATGGATAAGGTGCAGCGTGTATAAATAAAAAGTATGTAAATAATAAATAAATAAGAAAATATATAAATAAAGAAATAAAAGTATTATTTTAACAGGTTTCATTCATATAGTTCAGCAATCAAATACTCAAAAGTGCTAATATATAATGAATTAGTTAATACTATTAATTTTCAGAAATTCTCAGAACAATTTTTAGCATCCTTTTTTTGAACATTTTTGAAAGATGCATCAATTCATAAAGTTTTTAAAATTTTCTCAGAAAATTTTGAAGATTTTCTATATAAATTAACACATCGTTCAAAAAAAGAAATTTAAAAAATTGTTATGAGACATTCTGAAAATAATTTTTACCAGAGATAACGCCAAAATTATTTCGTTATATTGTGCAAACGGTGAATTATATCTAAATTGAACAGATAATTTTTATTTCTAAAATTTGTTCTTACCCGAATTTGGTTATTCATTTTTTCAGCACACATCGCAAAATTATGAAATTATACGCAAATCGCATAAATACAATTGTTGTAACTATGCGACTTTTCGGCAGCTTACGCAAAAAATTGAATTCAGCGTATCGGTATTACGTTAAATCACTAGATGAATTTGCGTATGATAACTGAAACGAGGTAATTGGTTGATCGAGTTTGGCGTAAGTTACGCGTACGCTGGCGTACATATTTTACGCCGCATGTGACGGCACCCTTATTCATGCGACATTTACATATATATAATCTTTTTACTTTTTATTTTATCGATATTTTTATCTTTTAATTATATTATTCAATTAAAAACGAATTTAACGAAAAGAAGTTATATAATAAATAAATAGTATATTTAATAAATAATTTTTATATATCTTATATATTTATATATATGTATAATTATATACATATATGTATATATACATATGTATATGTATATACAGGGTATCCGGTAAGAGTTGCCTCAACCATCGTGTGCAGGTAGAGTAAGTTAAACCGAATAGGAAAGTCCTCTACCGTTTTGCGATTTTCGCAATAATTATTGAGTTAGTAAATAAAAAAGATCGGCCAATCCACGCGAATAGAAGCGCGCGACGAGAAAAGACGTCTTACTGTAACATATATATATATATTAAAAACTTTTTAAAGCTGATTTGGTTGTACTTGCTCTTTTTCGTCAATACTAACATTTAATTAATATATCGTAATATTGGTTTTTGTACGAGAAGTATATTTTAATTGATTTCATAACTTCTATGAAACCATCTTATATAAAACTAATTTGTGTGAATCTTTTATCCTTATAAAATATTTCTTGGCTGCTTTCGCGCTAAAATCAAAATTAAACTATTATTTCTCAGATGTTGAAAACATTATATAGACGCATTTTCCAAATAATTTCATATCAATTAAAGTAAAAAAAGTCAAGGTTAAAAAATATATTAAAACGACCCAACTGGCTAAGGATGTTGCACTTTATTAATTCGCTACGTTTCGATCCATATATCGGGTCTTCTTCAGACTACAATAAACAATAAGATAATACGAATTAAACGAAATAATGACAAATTCAAAACAATTTTAACATTAAAAATATAATATATATATATATATATATATACGGATATAAATTAACTTATATAACATAATATGAAAATTAAGTTATATAAATAATCAAAATTGATCAAAATAATAAATATGCGAAAACAATATAATAAATTAAATATGTTAGAACTAAATATTACTATTTTCCAAATGATCTTAAAATCCAGTCATATACATGTTGAATTACATTACACACAAATTTTAATTAAAAATGTAACGTCATAATCAATTAAAAATTAAAAATTATAATGATAATACCTATTATTTGATGTTAAACATAATATATAAGATTATGCCAATCAGTGAAAAGATCGCTTGAATATTAATTCGGTCTTCATTTTACACTGTGTACAACCCCGGTTTAACTTAAACTGATAAACAATCAAACGGTAAAAATGTTCTTAGGAGTTAAAATAATATAAGTCAAAATAAATACAGAAACATATTCAAGGATCTTATAGAACGTTGATAATAGTGTCATAAATAACATTCAAATTGTCAGTATCTTTTTGTAAATTTATAGAGTCTTTATGTTTTTTAATATAAATCATTTCTATAATTCTCTCTTTTTAACATTACACTCACTATGTAATATCGAAACCGATGTCCAACAAAAATCATGATTAAGACTAACCCTATGTTTACTGACAACTGATAGCGTCTTCCATTGGAAAAAACTCGCTAGCACTGGCAACACTGAGTGCTTGAAGCGTATTTCATTGGTAGTTTTAGTTTGCACGTTCTGAGTGGAGCACATTTCATTGAGAGTGCAAAATGCTCTCAGTGCGCACTGAGTGCAATAAAAGTGGCCCCGAGGTTAGAGGCCGGGGCCACTTCAGTGTCACACTATTTGAATTACTCCATCTAGTCTTTACTGTTGTGACAAAAAATGAACTTATTGTTAGCAAACGAGTTTTTAGAATCTTCGTCTTCATCAAGTGAAGATGAAATAGTATTACTAATTACAAATTCGAAAAATATAAAACCAAAGATTATAAATTATTTGGATACTATTCATCTAAAGACTGATGAGCAGGTTATAATATTTGATTTTTTAAGGTTTTTTGATAAAAATGTATAATGTGATAATATTGTGTATGTGTACACACACACACACACAATCCACATATATTATTACATTATACATATATATATACATACAACTTTTTATAATTTTATTTTTTAGTTTCGACGTGATTTTCGATTACAAAGAAATACTTGTTCTATATTAATTGAAAATTTCCAAAATAGTGAAATATATGAAACATACTGCAGAGAAGATCATGGGAGTAGGCGAATTTCTGCAGAAATTCACATTTTATCATTTGTATGGTTAGTACATTTTTAATAACAAATAGGATTTTTTTTTACTATAAAATATGTAAGCTATGTTATAGGTATGCTGCTAATAAATGTGTAATGAGAGATGTCGCCGAAAGATTCAATATTGGAGAGTCAACTTTCTTCAGAATAATGAATCGAGTAATGGATTATTTATTAAACATTGCAGTAGAAGTGATTCAATTTCCTAAAACAGATGATGAAAAAAAATCTGCTGCAAAGAATTTTTATGAAGTAAGATGTACAAACCATTCATATGTGTAACTGTAATCTCTTGTTTAATTTATGTAATTTAACTTTTATTTTTTTATTCATTTACTTTAAGATATCTGGGTTCCCAAATACACTTGGTTGTATTGATGGTACATCAATTCATATTAGAACGCCTGCTCATAAAATCAAATCGACCTATGTAAATAGGCATGATCTCCCTTCAATAACTCTGCAAGGAATTTGCAATTACAAAAAGAAGTTTATTGATGTCTTCACAGGTCCTCCTGGGAAAATACATGATTCAAGAGTCTATAAACTTTCATTTATCAGCCAAGAATTACTCGATATTTGTGGCAATACTTACCATATATTAGGAGATAATGCATATGCTGTAAAGCCATGGCTTTTGACTCCATATAGGGACTATGGAAACCTATCCGTAGATAAAACTCATTATAATAAAGTATTTTCAGGTACTAGAGTTTTAATAGAAAACACATTTGGTTTATTAAAAAACAGATTTCGAAACTTGATAAAATTAGAGTTTCAAGATGTAGATAAAATAACAAAGTTCATAATGTCATGTTGCGTTCTGCACAATTTATGCATCGACTACGATGACATTTTTCCTAATGAAGAATACCATGATGAAAATCCTTATGAATACCCTGAATATGAACATATGACAGCGCAAGATATGCATTATACAAGATTAGGACAAATAAAAAAAGATGACATTTGTCAACAGCTTTCATCATAATTACTTTTTAATTTGTAGTTATTGTGTATTTAAGAAATAAAATAAACGTAAGAATGAACATAAAATTATACATCAGTCTTCAACATAAAATTATACATCAGTCTTCAACATAAAATTATACATCAATCTTCAACATCAAATTATACATCAATCTGTCTTCAATATAAAATTATACATATCTTCAACATAAAATTATATATCAGTTTTCAACATCAAATTATACATCAGTCTTCAACATCAAATTACACATCAATCTGTCTTCAACATCAAATTATACATCAATCTATAATTAAATTGAAATAAACTGAAATTAATTAACTGATATTGAATTGAAATAAACTGAAATTAATTAACTGGTATTGAATTAAAATAAATTAAAATTAATTAACTGGAATTAAATTAAAATTAAATTGAATATAAACGTATAATGATTAATTTTCATTTTCCTGGTTATCACTTTCTTCAGACGTGTTTTCTTGATCCTTGCATCCTTTCTTGTCTAAATAGGATTATTAGAAATATTAATAGGATTATTAGAAATATTGTCTTAATAGGATTATTATTATTATTGGCAATTTTTAATAAGTATTCTAAACTTACATAATTCTTTTAATAATTTTAACTTTTCTTTGTGACGACGTTGTTTTGCTGCTTCTTTTCTCTCATTAATGTCATATAAAATATCTTGCAAAGATTTCTTAGTCTTCTTTTTAACTTCTGTGTTTGATATTTTTAGATTGCACGATTTCAATGCTACATTATTTTTGATGTTTGTTACACCTCTTAAAATTTCTGGTTCGATACTATCGTCTGCTGCTGAAATTTTCTTCAGTTCTTCTTCATACTCAACCTCCATTCTGCTAGAACCTGATTTGCTGTTATTATCTATTGATTTTTTCTTTCTTTTTATAACCGTTTTATATCTATTTTCACATTGCACACCAGTCCGTTCAATGTTCAAAATTTCCTTTAAATCTTGGGCAATTCGGTTCCACATGACTTTTTTAGTTTTGTACCTTTTCATTGGACCCACTAATGAAAGGTATGAATTGTATTTATCCAACAGAAATTTCGTTTCAGGGATGGTCCATAATTTATCTGTAAAAAGAAATTTGTGAGAATGTAACGCATTATCATTCAACTTACTAATTTTAGATGTATAATAGTAAACATATATGTGTAGTATATACCACTATCATCATTGCAATCTTCTAATTTTTTTGTACAAACATCATTTTGACTTGCAGTAAAAATATTCTCATCCTGAAGATTTATTTCTGTATTTGATGAAGTTAAACCACAATCATTGTTTAAAACCACTGGAATACTGTAATAAAAGGATTAAGCAGTTTAATATACATATATATATATATATATAAAATATATATATATATACATATACAATATATATATATATATAAATATATATATATAAATATATATATATATATATATATATATATATATATATATAGTATATTAATATATATAATATAATAAATTTTATATATTTTGTTGATTATAACTAATAGAGCTTCAAGTACTTACAATGTTGTATCATCAAAAGAAAGAGCTAATGAAACTATACTTTCTTCTAATTTTAATATTTCTCTTTCTACTAATTGAAGAACAAAATCCACCGCATAGTTATTGATATCTATAAAATATATATTCTTGCTGAATTTATTTAGGTAATAGTAATTAATAAGTTTTAAATCTACGAATTGTGCTTAATCAACAAACATTCTCATTAATCGTAGAAAAAATAATTTACTTACGTTTCAATCGATAGTATGTATTTTTGTCCACTTCACAACATATTGATTCTAATGAGTTTATTTTTAAGTAAATAGCTTTTAAATCGTTTTTTTCACTCGTCATTGTAAAATATATATAAAAAAAATAAAAAGAGATCCAGATAAATGCAGCTGGCAGCTGTGCTAATTAACCTCAAAGTCTTTTCCTCTCAACACTGCGCCGTTTTTGTTAAAACTGAGTTCTAATGTCTTTATTTCATTGAAAGTGTAAAACTATTTAGAACTGGTGGCGTTTTGTGTAATCTCCATAAAAAATTAAAAACTAGGGGGCACTGAGTGCCAGCGAGTTTTTTTCCAATGGAAGACGCTATGAATGATTGCTTTCATGCTTTTTAACATCGTTATGGTGTTCCCTAATACGTGTTTCTAAGTGACGTTTGGTTTACCCTATATAACATGAAGAACAATCATTGCATGTGATTTTATACACGACATTCGTTCTTTTATTTGGCAAGAGTTGGTCCTTCCCTTTCTTGATTAATTTATTAAGTTTATTTACTACTGTATAAAGAACATCTATACCATAGTTGTTTAAATCACGACGAACATCCTCACTCAATCCATTAATATATGGGAGAACTATACATTTAGAAAAATCAAAACTTTTTATATTATTCTTTATATGATCGTCACCCCTTGAATATAAATATTTCAATCTTTTATTGATAATTGCATTAACAACACCAACGTACGTGTTTCTTCCTTCTTTGACGATACAAATAAAATCTGAGTATTATTGATCATGCAATTTCCCGTTTCAGCAGCTTTCACCTCATATCTAACTAATAATCTGTAACGGTTCCGTATCGGTCAGCCTCGGACGGCTCGCCGGAACCAGGATTCGGGAGCGGGGGAAGGGGAGGGGGGAAGCCAAGCTTGCGTAGACGAGTTGACGTGATACTTTGTTTATTTTACAGTGATATGTACAACTTAAACCTAGAGGACAGACACACCGGTATTTACACTTTTTACAGATACGGACTTACGACTATCGCGCGGACGGACGAACGATATCGCGGTCGCGGAAGCCGCGGGCGGCGGCGCGAATGCGGCGCGTTGCAGGTGGTCGGATACCGGGTACCCCCGATGCCATCGATCTATTATTCGATGCCATCATCGATCGAGAAATGCTACAGGGTTTGTCCGGAAAGTAATGCGTCGCATTTTTTTAAAAAAGAATTTATTGATCGCATAGGTAAAACAACTTAAAATTGTTCGAAGTATGACCCTTCTGCGTCAATACATTTTTGCCAACGCGATTTCCATGCGTCATAAGATTTCTGGAACTCCTTGACTGGGATGCTGTTCAGGGAGGCCGTCGAAGTAGCTTGTACGTTGTCAACCGACTCGAGCTGTTGTCCTTTGAGCTCCCTTTTCAGCCGAGGAAATAAAAAAAAGTCCGCCGGAAATTGGGATTATCTGCACAGAGTTGCTTGAGTTCTTCACAAACTTCCACTCGGTGTTGCTTTTGCGCATCGGTCAACACTCTGGGCACAAGTTTTGCGCAAATCTTCCGCATGGCCAAGTCTTCCGATACAATCTCGTGAACAATCGTTTTCGGCAAGTTCAATAATTCCGACATTAAGCGAACATTCATTCGACGGTCTAAATTCAATAATTGGCGCACACGAGTCACATTGTCGTCCGTTCGCGATGTTGACGGGCGTCCTGCGCGGGCCTCGTCGGCGACCTCCTTCCGACCTTCTCTAAACATCTTGTGCCATCTGTTTGACTGCGATTTGGAAAGGCAATCGTCCCCGAAAACTTTCTTGAGCATTTCAAAAGTTTCCAGCGGCGTCTTGTCCAGCTTCACGCAAAACTTTATCGCATAGCGTTGCTCTATCGTTCTCTCCATCACAAGTTCGACGCGACCACTAAGCAGAGGTTCACAGAATAAGCCGTCCTAACCCTCCAAGCGCATGGAAACAATTGAGCGACCTACCGTTGGAAAGCTAAGGGTACCCCCCTTCCTCCCCAACCGGTCCCATCGCTCTGCGATGTATAGTCGCGTCACAAAAAAATGCGACGCATTACTTTCCGGACAAACCCTGTATTTAAATACCATTAAGTTGTTAGCAGCAGCTTCAGAAATGTAGTTTTTTTTCTTCAAATCTAAGATCAGATCTTTTAATGAAGATATACGTTGCTTGCATCTATTGAATTTTTTCTGCAACGTTTTAATTTTCTATTGTTGCGTTACGGTACGTCGTACTACATTGATGGCTCTCGTAGCTCGTTTTGGTGTTGCGAAATGAGATAACTGGATATCACCAACATAACGTGGATTTGGTATTATCGGTGGAGCAGAATTAGAAATGGTTGGTGTAAAAGCAGAGACTTCAGTTAAGCAATTATTCGGAGGAGTTTTACAGTTGCCTATTCCAGTACCATCATTAGAAACCAATTCAGTAGGCAATTCAGTTAGGCAATTATTCGGAGGAGTTTCACAGTTGCCTATTTCAGCATCATAATTAGAAACCAATTCTATTGAATCTAAATCTAAGCGTTTCTTTTTGATGCTGCAACTAACATCTTTCTGTCTCAAGGGAGGTAGACAATTATTCGAAGACAAATAACTCCCGTTAATGTTGTCATTCTTGGGATCACTGATTTCTTCTATTTTGGTATATAAGTAATTGATAATTATTTCGTTTTATTTTAACGATTGTTCGAATCTCGTTCACCAACGTGGTAAATTCCAACGCACCGGGAACCGCGGGATTAGGAAAGCAATCAACTTTGGTATAATGTGAAACGACGTATTTTATTAGATTTCAGAGACTACACGCGTTCTTACTCTTCCGAAGTCGGAGCACGAGTTCGCGTTCTTCTCCGTTACGCTCCTCGTTATCTTCTCGACCGCGGTCCATATATGGTAATTACCAATCGCGGCAGGACACGCACTAGGATTTCGTTTTGCGCAGGGTCAGTGTCCTGAAGTAGCGAATTAGAATACGGCACGTCTCCTTTTGTCACGCATCACCTGATTTTCGAGATTCGGAGTAAACAACATCAAAGTAACGAGCGGTTCTCTTTCGGGGGAACCAGTAGCGGTGCTCCTTATCTTTTAGAATTTATTTATTGCTTACAGGTAGAACAGATATTGTCATCGTTAGTGGCATTTTCAACAGTAACAAATTGCGCTTTCGCCATATATATACAAGGAACAGCTTTTTCTTGTACACCAATATATTTTAAATGCTTCCTCAGATCCTCGGATTTAAAGTGATCTGTACACAATCTGTGTGAGGCATGCAAATTTTTCTCATTCTTTTTACAGAATTTCAACCACTGCTTTCTGATGTGCTTATTTGATGGAAATCTGTTGACAAATAAAATACATTTAAGTAATTAAAATACAGAAAAAAATAGTTTTAATAGTAATTAGTTTAAATAGTTCAATAATTATATCCATTGCTGAGATTACTGACATGATGAAATTTGACAATAAATTAAATATATTTTTACTCACCGTAAATAGGAAACTGATTTATCATTTTTACCACATAAAATACAATAAAAACCCATCTTAAATTTTGACAATGTTCGCGAATGAGCACGTTTTTCAATAAATTGTAAAATTTATCTACAACATTAATACATTTCTACATATGGCTAATATATAACTTATTAGCCTTATTATTTGCTCGATCAGCTGCGCAAACCGCACAGTCGCCGCGCATGCGCACTTTTGAGCAGTAAGCAGTGAGAGAGAGGCAACGATGATTTTCTTTCTCACTTCTTGGGGACACTTTTTTCTGTTGAGAACAAAGGCAATTCCCCTTCCATATCTATATGTTCTGAGGTGTTTGTTTCTGATTGTCCGCCATGTTTTTGGGTGACTCAGTAGCGTATCAACTATTAAAGCGTCCCAGTTTTTATTGTATCTAGCACGATTATTTATTGTTAAAAATTTTATATTCATACCTTAAATAAAATAATAATATAAAAAAGATATAATTTTTGTAAACGTACATTTATTGTACATTAGACATTACATATGTGACACAGTATTCCGTCTCTGAGCATTACACTGATCTTGCGCCTGATTGGTTACACCCAAAAACATGGCGGATCGACGCAAACCAGAAAAAGGGTGGGGTGCACATATTGGTTCTACTGTGGTACTGTTGTCAGTGTTAGAGACCAGGAAACCAAACTCCAGTGGTGGGGGTAAGTCAAAATATGGTTTCATTTCATGGGCGCTGTTCGCGGTAATGATTGTCGGCCAATTCATGAACTACGCGTGCTGGACTCTAAATTTCGATTTAGAGGCGGAACGTCGTCCAATATAACTTTAAAATTCGAATCTTTACGTTGTTTGTTGGAAACCAGTAGATATATAGGGAGAGTTCTAACCCAAGTTCTCTGAGGGCTGCGGGACAAGGGGGGCCTGCGGCGCGGGAAATGACATCACGCGGAGAGGGGGATCCGCGAGTTTAGTGTCCGCGAGGAGTCCGCGGGGAAGGGAATCCGCGTGTTTAGGGTCCGCGAAGAGGGGAAAGTGAAGAGAGCATCAACGAGAGAGCACAGCGAGAGAGATAGCACGGCTAAGTGTTCGCGACAGAGAGAGATAGCGCAATATTCGAAGAAGAGCGCAAAGAGAGACGACGTGAGAGAAATAGCGGCTAGGTGTTCGCGAAAGAGAAAGAGAGAGAAAGAGATAGGCGAAGGAGAGCATAAAGAAGATGACGCGAGAGCGCATTTTTATTTTATATTTTAATTTATAAATAAATTAATACAATTGTCGCTCGTATATTGAAAACAAAGTGATAAATATAAGGCCAACTTATCGAGCTGAATATTCGAGATGTTCAGTCAACTACCATTTATTACATGTATAAATTATAAAACTACAGTCATTATATTAAAACTAACGCAAATTACAATCATTCTATAAACGTTTCGACCGCACGCGGTCTTCTTCAGTATAATTATTGAAATATAAATTCTTACAATTCACATAATATCGAAATTTAATTATAGTTATTCAGAATCAAGAGTTTTTGAGCAATTAACGCGTGTTTCAATCCGTCCTGTCCAACAATGTTCGCCTCGATATGATCCCTGATTTTGTTCAGATCTCGGATAGTTTCATCGTTAATATGCGAGAAATTAACCCGTTCCGTAGGCGCTGCGATTAATAAAAAATTACCGATCAACGTATGTCCAAATTATAATATGTATTCCCTACAATTGGTAGTATGCTTACCTATCATCGTTCTTCTTGACAATTTTGCTACTTATTAACAGTTATTAAGGATGACACATAACAAACCAACAATACAGAAAGACAGCTCATTTTAAACTCTACTTGATCGGAGAGCGTGCGTGTTTATATATGATCTAATATCTATGTTTTACTCGTTAATGTCCTATTTGTCCTATTATTATTTCTTGTTCGCTAATATATCCAAAATATCAAAATACGACTCGCTAAG